AGCTCTTTTTTTTTTTTCTTGTTGTTGTTTCTGACCCTGTTTACAGTTACTTGTGCTTGTTTTCCACTACACACAGCTCAGTCATTTCTCTTTTCCTCCTTTGACAACATGTTTTGAAGGGTTTAACCTTTTTTGCTATTTCTCTTTCTAGTCATAATTCATAAAACACATGAACTAGAAATTGTAACTGTTGGGAAAAAAAATACTTAGAAATGTGATCAGAAGATACACAGTTCCTAGCAAAAAAATTAGCTAGTTTTGATGTCTTAGATGGAATATGGTTAAGGATACCTTTTAGAATTTGTACACTGAAGAGTCTGCTTTTAGCATCATTGAGTAAACCCCCTGTTTTTGTAACTTCAATACAATAAACATTTTCCTTTACAAATATACATTTTGAAATGCCTGCCTGGTGTAAATTTGTTTTAATATTTAGATTAAATTTGTACCATTACACAGGTGCATGTGTAAAATTGGTTCAAATAATTTTGAAATGTATTCATTTTTTGAGCTTACTTGTGAAACATTTAATGTAATACTTGTAAATATCCACTTTTGCTGAAATGAGTCAGGGAAAATTCAGAGACCAAAAGAATTTAATTTTTTAAGCTAAGAGTAACTGAAAGAAGAAAAGGAAAATATAAGAGGAGATAGATTGCAAACTTAAGTTTCATGGTAGCTGTCACTTGCTGTAATATAAGCGATACAAGTTAATCACATCTTTAGTAATGTGGATAAATATTTTATGAAAATATCAGTGTAGAACTGTTGTCTAACTTTTTGTGGTTACTAAATAAAACAGTTCCTGAAGTCCACTACTTGGACAAGTTGATTGATAGTTTTACATGAGTCTTACATGTTCCTGAGAATAATGTTTTCATCAAAACTTTTCTCATCAGTCATGGTTCTTTTTTTCCAGATATAATAATTTTTTCACCTGAAACATGAATTCTAATTATTCACTGGCATTTAGCGATTCTCTCCTTTTTAAAGAAACTTCTTTCTTGAGGTCCAGAGAACAGTAACATAACAGGGTTGTCTTTATAGTTCAGTTATTAATTAATGAAGATTTTGTTTGGTAACAAACAAACTTTCTGATGCTTAAAGCAAGCTAATACAAATGGTAATGTGAGATTTAAAGGTTTAGTTCTTGGGTGGTTGTTACATAGAATTCTTTGGAACTTTACTTTTGCCTTAATTGCACAGTATACAGACAGGCAAATAGGGATAAATGTCGGTTTCTTGAAGCTGTGCCTGATGGCAAATTTCATAGCCTCACTAGAGGCTTTGTTTGTGTGCACACATTACAGCAGCTTAACTAGAATTGTTTTAAAATCAATTAAAACTGGCAAACGCTTATATTGGCTAACAACTGGTTATATTGATTTCAGTTAATTCGGTCAATTGCAAGATTGAATTGACGTGAGAGGCTTTTTTTAAGGGACTTCACAACAGGACCTTCATACAAATGACTAATTTTGTTTTCTGAAAGTCAAGAGTAGCTAGAATACTGAGAGATGACCTGCAGAGACAAAAATAGGCCTTTGCTGTTTTTCGGATTCACTCTGCATGTAGGTAGTCTGTAAGGTGTTTTAGTCTGATATAATTAAAGCTCTGTTAGGGTCTGAAAGATTGGTGTTTGGAGAGCTAATGTAGTGATGATATATTTGCTAAAAATGAAAGGTCCACTTTTGTGGGGTTGAACAATATAAAATGTAGGGGTGCACCAATAAAGAGTCTCTTGGCCAATACTGATAGTTGATGATTAACCAACCATATTGGGTGATACCAACCCAATAACCAATTTACAGCAATGCAGCTGGACAGCATGGAGAGCAGCTCCCTGCAGGTATGTCTGTGGGGGGGCGGGTAGGAGGGGACAAATTGATGCCCCCATGGGGGGGTGAGGGAGTGGAGTTGGGGGTGCTGCCTAGCCAGGGCAGTGATTGGGACCTGGGGTAGGGAGTGGGACAGAGCCAGGGCTACTTGTACAGGAGGTGGCACTTAAAAATTGTGGTGGGGGTGCTTGAACTAAACCTTGCCAAATAAACTTTAGTTCAAGCCCTGCTGCCACCATTTTTGAGTGTGGCTTTTAAGCGGAGTGGGGCAAGGATGGATGCCCCACTGCAGTCTCGGGGCTCTTCCCTGCTGCCCTTGCCCTGGGGGCCCTATGCTGGCCACGTGCCCAGTACTTGCCTGGCAGCAGGAGGCATAACTTGCTGCCACCACTGCTGCCAGGCAGGCGGGGGGCGCACAGCTGGTGTGGGGCTCTTGAAGGAAAGGCAGCAGGCCAGAGAGCCCGAAGCCTGCAGCAGGCAGCCTACATTCATCCTGTGCACAAATTGGGGAGGGGAGGCACATTCTCCTCCCTTGGGGGGTCTGCACAGGAAGCCACCACCCCTCCTGCACCCCCTGGATGAGCCATGCATGGTTCTATCCTGCTCCCTGCCCTGGCCCCAGGTCCCATTTGCCATCCTGATTAAGCAGTGCCTCCAGCCCCTGCCCCACTCCCTCTCTCTCAGTGGAGGCCTTGATCTTCCCCCCCCACGCCCCTTCCCCTTCACAGACTTACCAGCAGGATGCTGCTCTCCACACTGCTGGGCTGCCTTCCTAGCCATGTGCATGCATGCGGCTGCACGCACTATTTATTGGTGACGGTACTGGCTACACCAGCCAATAACTGATAATGTTAATTTTCTTTTTATCGGTGCTGATTCAATATAGTAGTGCACCTCTATTAAAGTATTGGTGGGTTATTGTTAGTAAGAAACCTTTTAAATAAAGGGAATTCAATATTTGTCTTCCCCTCCACATATTTTAGAGCTCAGAAAAATGGGCCCACGCATGTTTTTGTGTTTCGGTAAACCCACACTTGCCTATTCTTATATTTCAAAGGCGTAAAAAAATTGGTAAATCACTTCCAGACAAGTGAAAAGAGGACAAAAGCCCAGTTGGGGGCGAGAGAATATTTTTCCCTCCCCACCTCCAAATGCTCAAAGTACTATATTTATGTAAGATTTCTTCATGTCCTTGTCATAAACTAGATGTTTTTCCAGAACTGTATGCGAGCAATGGTTCTTTCTGTCACTGCAGCAAAGTCCTCCTTTGCATAGGGCTCACCAAGGAGTTGGCAAAAGAGCAAGTGCTCCATGGTCTGCGCTTCACTGCACTCGCATGTATTCATGTTATTAGAGTAGACCTTTCGATCTTCCAGTTGGTGCGCACCGGCAGTTCAGGCATCACCATGTTGACCAGTCTGTATCAGCCCCTCTGGGGTGGTCCTCCTGAGGTTCCAGGTCCATTTCAGAGCATCTGCTTGCATGTAATCTTTCCTTCCATCACCTCAGTCACACCATGTCCAGGGATCCAACACTGGTCACAAAATTATTTTGTGATTTTTTTGATTTAAGCCGTTGGTTACCTCTGTGACAATACAGTGGATGTCATAAACAGTCTCGTGGATGTCATAAACAGTCTCATATGTATCTAAGACTGGCCAATGTTGAATGCCTTTGAATAAATGCTGAAAAGGGAAATTGTTCTTGCACTTAAAATGTGCTAGTTAATTCTGTGTTCCTTCAAGTTTATTTTTGTTTTAAAATACTATTGTTTCAGTTCGTTCAGAGTTTTGTTGGGGGAGGTGTGTTAAATTATAATAAAACTAACAAATTTGATTTGAAGCTCTGTTAACAATTTTTTCCCACTCCCAAGAGTGTGGATGGTTTGGAAAGTCAGACTTGGTTTTGCTTTGAATATGAAAATAGTGATATTTAAGCATTCTTTCAACCTATTTTTTTTTTTTTAAAGAAGGAAATTACCAATTAACTGTTTCTCTGAGAGGAAGACTATCAACTTAAATTCTGCACATGGCAATATGATTTGTGCTTACCTTTGCAAGGAACCCAATGGTGCTTCGGTGGAGACTAGATTAAAATCGACTGCTGAACATTTGTAAAGACTTTATCTATGATCAGTTTTCCAGGGTTTACTGGGAGTGCATTGAATCATTTTCGTGCACTGCTCTGGGAAGAAAATCCTAAGCATTTCCTTAGGCTCAGTTGTATTCAATTTTATTGCTGTTCAAAACAGCATAGGCAGTACTGTGCACAGAGGGATGCTGGAAGGGGTGAGCCTGAAGATGGTTTTTTTGTTGTTGTTTTTTTTGTACACAGTACTCTTCCTTTTGGCTTTCTCCAAAAGCTCTGTAAAATGTAGGGGCTAGGGACCATGCACAAAAAAAACTAAAACCTTTTTGGGTTAAGGTGAGGTGGGGAGGGAAAGGTAGAGTAGACAGGTGTGAAGATGTAGATGACTGTACTTAGCTCAGTTTACAAGTGATGGTCCTTCAAATTTGCCCTGATGTGTATCAGTCAAATGTATTTAAGATTTGTATCTAAACTGCTACCACCCTACTGATTTGAGTGGGTATAAGCAAAGGCAAAATTTGAATGCTTCTTTATATTTTTCCCCTTAACATTCTAGATTTAGACACTAAAGCAAAGAGAAAACAATTTTCATTTTAAAATACTTTGACTTCTGCAATTCTGAAGTAGTGTTAACTTGAAAAAAAGAACAGGTTTGTAATATTTTTTTCAATTGATATTATTACTCTGACAATTTTGTCAAGCAATCCATAATTACAGTCCCCCCCCCCCCCAAAAGTATGCTGGTTATAAAGTGTCATTGATACTCTAGAACTTTGCTTTTTGGCTAGTAAAAATGGATATAATTTTGAATACGTACCGGGAGCTGATCCAAGTAAGAATCTCTGTACAACCGCACCTTAGTTGAACAAAGTTGGGGAGTCATTTTAGTAAATAAACTTACCTCTAAATGACAACTTCATTTTTTCCGCCTGGGATATGGTGACAGGTACCAATAGACTTTTATATTTTTCTTAGTGTATTTCTCTTTGTGCTTGCTTACACTGTGATGAAAGAAAATAGCAGAAATTTTGTCATGTTTCTGGCAGTAATTTTACCTAATTACCTTTTTATTAGTCCACTCACAACCCAGGGATCACAACAAACTCAGCAGCTACAGAAGCATTATGGCATTACCTCACCTATCAGTTTGGCTGCCCCCAAGGACTCTGACTGTATACTTACCCAGAAATTAATTGAAACGCTAAACCCCTATGGTGTATTTGAGGAGGAAGAGGAACTGCAGCGCAGGTGAGTAAGCACTAATGGTTGGTTTAAGACTTTTTACAGTTCACTTAACTGGCTACCTCAAACCATGTTTAAATTGGTTTTAAAATGCTCAACCTGAAGAGTTGGTTTTTCTCTTCTGATCCAGAATAAAGAGGGTCCCTACATTAAGGTTACCCTTGAATTTGACAGGGTTTTGCCTTTTCCTTTCAACAGTGTTCTCTTGTAGTATTATTCTTGTTTCTTCCCACAGTTCATGTTAAAACTTTCTTAAACTTGCATCTTCTGCTGGCTCTGCTGCAGGAAACATGAAGACTCCAGGAGTGATAGGCAGGCTGTGTTTTGGAATTGATAGAATAGCAACCCAAAAACATGCAGCTGCTTAGAAACATATGTACAGGTGATTAGCACCTGAATTCCCAATTTGCTTTTATGGGCTCAAATTACTGAAATTTAAATAAATTAGAAATGTTTTCAGAGTGATTCTATTTAATAGCTGTATTAAAATAGTATCTCCTGTTTAGGTATGCTAAAACTGTTATTTCAATTTTTTCTTATGGTGTAGTGATCAACATCATAGTAAAATCTCAAAGTAAATCAGCAAATAGTGAAATAAAAGCATTCTAATATTTTACCAACAGGATTCTAATTTTGGGGAAATTAAACAACCTGGTAAAGGAATGGATACGTGAAATCAGTGAAAGCAAGGTATGGGTGGATTTTCCATGTACTTACTTGCATTAATGCTTGCGTAAAGATACTGAAAGTGGGCAGATCCAGGAGGGGTGCAGCTACACCTTCCTGCCACTGTTGTCCTCGGTACCTAGGTGTAGGAAGCCCCAGAACCGCCCCTTTCCAGCTGTGGGCTGAGACTGTGTAAAGTGCCTGGCTCAGCAGGGGACAGCAGCTGCAGTGGGCAGGTTTCCTTTTCCTGCGCTTGCTCTATGCTGCACCCCTCCCTATCCTTTGGCCTAGAGCAGGCACTAGAAGGAGAAACCTGCACACCACCACCACTGTCCTTGGCTAACCTGATGGGGTGCCCCAGCGCTGCTTCTGCTTTGCTCCACCATTTCTGGGCTGCAGGGAGCAGCTGTCTGGAGAGGGATCCCAGTTCTTTTGGGAAGAGTGATGGCAGTGCACAGAGCGCTCCTTCCAGCGCCTGTTTTCTTGGGGAGCAGGGATGAGAGGGGCAAGATAGGGAGCAAGTGCTGGAAGGAGGACCCTGTAAGCTACTTACCACTATTTCTGGCAGAGTCTGGCTTATAGTGCAGGTGTTCCCAACAGTCCCTGACTAGAGTAGGACAGGGAGTGGCTTTGGGGCTCCCACCACCTCCCAGATCAACTGGAGGCAGTGGTAGCAGGTGGGTCATTTCTTCTCCATCCTCCCTATACCTTTTCCCTGCCCAGCTCCCCAGTGCCCTCTGGAAGCCTTAGAGCTTCAGCCATGCCTTGCCCCCAATCCTCCAGTTGAGGACTGGTGGGCTGTACATCTCCCCCTCTGCTCCTCTCTTTTTTCTTTTTAAACTAAATCCTGGATTTGCCTGTATATGTCCCTTAAGAAATGAGGTCAAACTCACTAGATCAAGAGGTATATCTCATCAGAGAATTAACCTTAATGTCAATTCAAGTGAAATGAAAACTTCCTATAAACATAATATTGGACATCTGTGCTAATGAAAACTGAGAAGCTATAGTTATTGCTTCTTAATCTTCAAACTGGAAGAAACCATTAACCTGCTACATAAGTAGGTTTGGAAATTACTTGTGTTCTCCAGTATTATGCATAAAATGGTCAATTTTGTTTAATTTTGTTTGACTGAACTGGTGGTAGACTTTGAGATAAATAATGTTGGTGAAAGGATTCAAAAATTATTGTTTGTTTTAGATTGATCTGTTTTAACTTTATCAGAAAATAATAATCTTGGTGGTGGTTGTGTGTTCTGTTTTGTTTGTTTTAAACATTCTCCAAAAATAAACTAGGAGGTATGCTTTAAACCTCAAGATATTTTAGTTCATAAAAGGATGAGAGCCTAGCCACCCTTTTTGTTTTGTCTTTCCCTTTTTAATCTCAACCCAAATGCATTTCTTTTTTAGCTTGTTTATTCTGTGTATAATACTTTTTACCCTTTTACCTGTAGATTTGTCTTCTGTTATGTAGGCAGTGAAGCATGGGGAGCACAGAAAACCCCAAAATAAATCAATGTAGCGTTTCAAACCATGAACATGTGCAAGGACCTGTCTTAAATGACTAGACTTCAAATTGTTGGTGTCTTGCAACATTAGTTTATTGCCATTAATATGGCACCTCACATTGGGTTATATTGTACCCTGCAATACAGAAGTAAAACTTGGGGGTGGGGGGAGGCAGGAATTTGGAAGTTGAGGGACAAGTATACTAATTCTGAAAACAGTAGCATACATCCATACTCCACATATCTATGGGAGGAGGAGGTTGATATCTTTTACCGGACCAACTGAGTAGTTGAGATGCTTTTAAATTGTAAGCTTTCAAGCACACCATACTCTTTATTTTGAAGAAAGGAATAATCCTAGCTCCTTCTGAAAGAGTAAGCACTCTTTCTGTGAATGATAGGAATTCTGTGTGTTCAAAAGCTCATCTCAAGTCTCTTCCAACCATGTGGTGGGTCCAACAAGATACTTTTAGCCCCCTCCCCTTCTGTCCCTGCCCCTCACATTTCCTGGACTGCAGGGGCAGCAACATCACTTCTTCAAAACTAATCATAGTAATTCATCCAATACAGAATCTAGTAAGTTTCTTTGTACTTTATAGTGGAAAAAAATAAACACAATAGTGTAAACATTACTTGTCATTTCATACTTTCTGGAGGTAATAAATAGATTGAGTATAGTCTTCCTTGAAAATGCTTGAAGATCCATTGCTCTACCACATTTAAGCAAAATGCCCTTAATTTGGATTCCCAGCTAATGGATTTGTTGCAGGTAACACCATCAAGTTTCCGGCATTGTGATATGTTACAAATTGTATTTAGGATGTGACGGGGCGTAACATTTGCCTCTGTCTTCCCAGGAATCCCATGATGGTAGTCTAGTTTTTATTTCTGTATTGGCTATTGATTACGGATGTCAGTATTGTTTAAAAATTATCTCTCTAACCTCCTCTAATGATATTGGTTAAACAGTTAATCAGTAACATGGCAGCTTCCACACAACTGCTGGTTGCTGCTCCTGAGCCCTTTGTCAGGCATAGGAGGCATTGGCAAGCCCAGCCAGACCATAGGAAGGGAGCACCTGTGAATGAGCAGTTAACTGTTTGATTGAGTCATTAGGCTGCCTGCTGTTTTTTCTCTTTCACCTTTCCATGTAGTTGATACCCTCCTTGTAGAACTCAACACAGACAATTAACCCCCCACCCCCAAAAACCAACCTTTTCCCTCAAAAAAAAATGTGCAGCTAACATGACATCTGTCATTTACCCCTTAGTTCATTGCATATCTGTTTTATTTCCCTTTTCCTGCCCTCTGTATTCCCCATCTATTTGGATTGTAAATTCTCTGAGATTGGGGTAGGCTCTTACTCTGTGGGTGCAATATCTAATATTATAAATCTATGTTTTTGGTTGGCCC